ATACAGTCAGCTGTTTAAACATTTTTACATAAATTTAAATGTTTTAATCTTTACATAACTGAAAAATAATTATCAGTGTGACCGAAAATAAACTTGATGAGCTAGCGAATCTTTTACTTTCCTCTAAATAGGGGTAAAAGGAAAGGTTATGTACCTCTTCCACGTGCTGAGCATCACCAAGCATGCAGACCTTCATCTTGGGACGGGGAATGTGTGGCAATTTAACAGAACCACTGAAACGTTTGTCCTTTTGGGGATCATAGTTCTTCAAGCCAATTTGGAGCTCAATTGTCTCAGTGAAGTTGCGTTTCTTCTCAGCAGAATTCCCCTTTATTGTGGAGATTGCCTCTCTCACTGCATCACTTTGTAATTTACTGATAACAAATAACCACACACATCACACACATCAGAATCGAAACCCCCAAAGAACTCACAACAACAACAACAAACCCAGTAAAATCCTACAAGAAGTGTGGTCGGGGAAGGGTGTGTACGCAAACCTTACCTCCACTCAAAAGTACAGAGATTTCCAAAAAAACCCGGATCAAACATAGAAATGCAGACAGAGTAAACAAATTGGCACTAAAAAGTGAGAGCACCGAGACCAAACGCAGCCACAAGTTCAATTTTTTACAAATAAGATGAGCCGATACAAGGAATATTAAACAAAAAATGCACAGGCATTTGTCTAAAAAAATATTAAATCTATCTAATTTCCTAATGCTACAAATAAATTCACTCTCTGCCAGGTAAATAATGCTTATGTTAAAGGTCAAATGTTAAGGTCAAATGGTTTCTCAGATGTTATGATCCAAAGACTTAAAACATGGGAAGCCTTGAGAACACCAAAACCCATTCGACAAATGAGCAAAAATGAGAATTTAAATCAACATTAGGATATGAAGAAATTACCTCATGGCAGAAGATTATTTCTTAGTGGCTTCACAATAACCTGTTTAGTAAATAACAGATTGGAAACAAAAACAAAAAATGAAAAAATGAATTGTATAAGCAGATATTTACGAGAATATTAAAATCGCAACGAATACACTAGAAGAAAGAAAATATTCCTTCGGAAAGTGAATGTAAGATCTATAGAGCAATGTTTCATACTCCGTACATATATCCGAAAATGGCATTTTAGATTTGAAACCTATCACTGTAGATCTAAATACTTGGTGATGATTTAAAAAAAGAAAAGCAGTTAAAGATTGTTTTTCATATCAATATAAACTGAGAAAAATTAGCTTAAACAGTGAAGTTTCTGGGTCTTGTGAAGCTTAAACAGTATAAGCTGAGAAAAATTAGCTTGTCAAGGAGGTTGCTGGAGATGCACTCCAGTTTCTGGGTCTGGGTTTCTATTGCTGCGCATAATGCTCAAGACGATATTGGTGTAAGGCTATGGGAGAGGAGCCTTGAGAAAAGAACGGAGGCAACTTTGAAACTCTAGAGACTAGAGGCCATTTACAGAATATATTGAAACTTTGTTAACAATACTGTGAAGAGACAATGAAGATGTGCAAGTCCCTGTACAGATTTTGAATAAGGGTTATAAATATGGTGAGTTCAACTGTTACTGTTAGTATAAATCTCACAGAAAATGCTACTTTCAACCCCAGGGATGACACCAAGGTTGACACCATCAAAGACAATCACGCACACTCATCATGAGAAATTATTGTCTGTGAAACACTAGCAGTGTAAACTTTGTTGTGTGAGATTGTATTCACTTAGGTGCATTTTGTGCCAACTACTTTGAAATTATGATTATTTTAGAAAAGTGTATCAAGAAGAGGTTTGATAATTCTGCCCAAATCTGCTAATAATAAAAGCTTTGAAATACTTGGTTTTCTCACTATATACAGTATAATGAACAAAAAAAGTTCATATTTCTTAACAAAACTTTCCTTTTGCTGAGCAATTAAAAGAACATGATAACGAATGCAAATTCACCAATGTAATGAGGAATATTAAAACCTAAAATAAAAACATTGTACGATGTAATTTAAGAGAACTGGAAAACACAGGTTTAAAACAAACATACTCGGTACTACTAAATTATATACCTTTATTCCTAAAACAAATGCACACTCCCCTTTTCCATGTTGTACAAAAGTAAATCCACATTTTTGCTATTTCCTTGACTGTTTTTCTTCTACATTCTGAAGTGATATCAGGCACTTATTCTTGAAAAGGATGGGGTATGTACAGTTGCAAATTTGAAAAAAAACAAAAAAACAATGCAAATACTTATCCGAAATGAGAAAAAGAGAGGATATGTATGGCGTCTCATTCACATCTTCAAAAATTTAGGGTTTTAGTGTAAAATCAAATGAGTAGTAATTCAGATTCAAAAAAAAATTTGTCCTAGATCTATAAATTTATTTGCAGATGGAAACTACGGGTACTAGTTTCGTTTCAGGTGTGGATAGTAAATCGAACATAATTTTTCATTCGAGAAGATATAAAAAGGCTTGAAATCGAAGCAGAGAAGAAAATTACCTGAGGTGGACGACGAACGACTGAAGGAAAATGGAAGAGTGAATAGATCTCTGATTAGATGTTTAGGGTTTGGTTGTATTTTGACCCGGGCGTTAACCTGCCCAAATGAGTAGAGGCACAAGCCAGAAAATTACTCACGACGCGAGTTTTGTTGAAATAGCTTTCAGATCCCTCTATTTTGAATAAGACAGCAAAGGTCCTTACATTTTGTTGTAATGACTGGAAGGGGACATTTCATCTAATATTTCATCTATAAAGTAATGCAAGCTTGGTCCTGATTCAACTCTATTCCCAAATAGTATGTTAGAAAATTTCATCCTTGCACAGAACGAGGTTGGGAAAATAAAGTCTTAAGAAAATTTATTTGATTATGTCATAATACTAGTTTTGATTGTATAATTCCAGAAGCGCAAACGGTTTTCGATTCGGAGCAGTTTGGGGGGGAAAGCGCATACCTTTCAGGTCCGGAATTTCCCATGTGTTGTCCCCCCCACTTCCCCAAACTAGGAATCATCACCAACATCTCTTCATTACATCCATTCACCACTTTCTTTTCCTTCTCTTTGTTTTCTCCACCACAACCACTTAACTCCCAAAACTCCCCCTCCCCATTTGACATGGACGAGCAGCACCAGCGGCGACAAAGAAGGAGGATTCCGGCGAGAGAGAAAGAAGAAGAAGAGAGGAGGAGGAAGTCTGTTCGATCATTCGTGAGGCGTGGTGTCGTTCGTAGCGCCGTTTGTATCATCACGTTTTAGAGGTGAGTGTGTTGCCCCTCTGGCTTTAGAATTCATAGTTATATTCAATATAGATATATTCATAGTTTTTACCTGACGAAACTTACGTTGAATCCATATAAATGTAGAATCTTCGCTATATTGTTTGGTGACGTAAAGCTCGGTAAATAGCATTTAGAAATCATAGAAAAATATCCTTATTTGTTTATGTTCATGTATTAAAAAGAAATCAAGACATAAGACGAAATAGACCAAAACATCAAAACACTGTCGGGCTGTCACCGCCGCGACCGTATGGGACGACGGCCTACCGTCCGCCACGGTCATAGCCTACCGTACTGGTTGCCATGGTTACGGTCATGGTCACAGCATACCGTCTGCTACAATCATGACCTACCGTCCACTTACTGTACCGTGACCAGAGACCGGACAAAAACTCTGTTTTTGTACCCCTTGACCCAATTGACCTCAAAGTGTAACACCCTAACCCGCAAAACCCGAATAAATAGATTAGCGGACCGGGTTGCTACTAAATTGGTATCCACATACAATATTTTCCAATAAATTAAAACATTTCATTTAAAATCCAAACAATTTAAATACATATCGGAGTTTATACAAACAGTGCGGAAGCCGTATAATTTGATTAAATATCAACTTTACTAAATCCTTGCATCCGTACATCTCCTCTGTCATGCTGCTCTCCGGGACGGATTACCAAAATCAATCTTCCACAACCACCTACGTGTAGCAAATAAGAAAAAGGGCTACACGCTCAGCATTGAAGCTAAGTGAGAAATATCTAACAGTTCGAACATACACATAGGCGAATCCACTAATTCATAATTATCTCATGGTATCATGCACACAACATGCTTGGCAACAATCATATGATATATAAGATATAACATGCATAATCAATGTCATAACAGTTCATAAGATACAAACAACTGTATATGCATTAGGAACTTTCCTTTTTTTGATTACTTTACTTTCCTTATCATACTTGGCTCTTAACCTATACTAGGTTAAAGCTTAACTGCATTCGACTTGCCTATGGAGTCATGACCTTCCCCTTCGGAATGAAGGTCAAGCTCAAACCAACTCGGGAGTTCCTCGTTGGATGGGTGAGATCCCTGTCCCCATCGGAACGACATTTCTTAGATCCCCGTGTACACGTTTTTACCCGAACAGCCATTGGACCCAGCAGGTACCACATGGCTCTAACTTACTATACTTATGGCATACCTTGCCACTAATCCATTCAGGTCATTTCCTAGAATTCTTCTAGGTGATATATCCAAAATTCATTATTCAATACACAATACAACATTCATAAATTCAAAATGCATTTAACGAGATATCCAACATAATCAAATAGGGCCTACCGTCCGTCCAGTACCTAGGTACCGAACGGTCACAGCTACCGACAGAGAGGATATAAACAAACAAAGTGTGATGGTAGCACGGTACCGTCCCGGCGGTACCGCCTACCGTCTGACACGACAATTTTCTGCTTTTTACCTATTTCATTTTTTCAACATCAAACCAACGACAATTTCATATCAATAGAAAACAATAGGTTCATATTAACATTTCAAACACTAATAAGTACATTAATCCGTCAATCAACGCCTAAATCATGCATACTCCCTTTTCGATTCAGCGACAACAATTCCCAACCATAACCAACAATTACACAGATAAATCACACAGATCAACCACGATAACAATCATGAACAGAATTTCAAACCTAGATGCATATTCTAGTGTTAGATGTCCAGGTACTCACTTCGATTTGTTTCGATTTGATTCAATTCTAGAGAACGTCGCTCGGATGCCAACATCGGAGCACTCTTACCTGCTGCCCGAATTCCCGCTACTCCCCAAAACCCCCGTTGGACAAAGCTGGAAATGTCGTCGCTGTTGACCGAGTCAACTCGCTGGAAAACATCGTGGTCAATCCCCTTGCTGGTTCAATTGTTGCTGACAAGGACTACCCGTTGCCCGAACTTCGTCGCTTGAGCACGGGGGTCGTTGATTCGCCAACCCGGTCACCACCATCGCAGAGATCACCGGAGCAGAGAGGGGTCGCCAAAAACCATGGAGGTTTTCAAACTTTGGTGGTTCGTCGCTGCTGGACTTTGTCGGAACAGAGGTCGCTGGACATGGAGGGTTGCCGGTGGAATTCGTCGCCGTTGATTTGCCTCGCGATGTCACCCTTCCCCGTCACTGCTGGACTCATCGCCGTAGGGAGACCGAGCGGCCTTCATCGCCACTGTCCAAAATCGTCGAAGTTTCCAGGAGAACTGCCGCCGTCAAAGTTATAGATCCATGCTGCTAGGGCTGTTCATCGGTCCAGAACTGGACCAGACCGGACCGAACCGGACCAGACCGAAGACCGAAACAAATGAAAAAGAAGACCGAAGACTGGACCTATTAGTTGTCGGGTTTAGACCGAACCGAAATTACCTTGACCGAACCGATTAGGACCGAAAAGACCGAATTGAAAATGCAAAATTAAAAAACTGGGAAACAAAATAGCCAAAACCGCCACTCAAATTCTGCAAATAACAATTAATAAAAATTGTTCAAAAGCAAGTTCTTTAAAAAAAATAACCAAGAGTAGGGTTTAGTAATCTGAATGTACTGAGCAGTAGCACTAACTAGCCATTTGAAAACTAAAATTGAAAATTGAAAAAAATCACCTCTTAATGCAATTCAGATCTACAGATTTTGAACATAATATGTCGACATATATTAAGAAGAAGGTGTCAGACTTGAGTTGTTTCTACTTCACTACCGTCCGGGATCCTTGGACCACAAGCAGCATGTTGATTGAACAAAGGAGATGCTGGATGTTTGATTTTGGATGAGGGAAGATCATGAAGAAATTTAATTATGGGTGATTGGATCTACGCATACTGAGTTGAGAAAGGGGGTTGCGGAAAAAAATATTAAATTACGGATGATTTCAAGCACTTTGGCAAAGTACTACTGTTTCGGTCTTTTAGGTCTGGACCGAACTCATTTCGGGTCTAGACCGGATCGGAACGAAACCCGAACATTCAAAAATTGTGGACCGAAGACCGACCCGAAATCCATTCGGTCCGGGTTCGGTCTGGACCTAACGGTCCCGTACGGTCGGTTTTTTCGGTCTAGACCAAAACTTGAACAGCCCTACATGCTGCTGCTCGACTTGGTCGGAGAAGACTGCTGGAGGCGGCGTCGAGTCGAATCGAAGAAGAAGATCCGGGTTTGAGAATGAGAAGGTTATATTAATATACCTAGGGTTTTGTGCTCCGTAATTTAAAATAATGTGTCTGAGTAAAACACACTTTTCAGGCTAACTTGCTCCGAATTGAGATCCGTTCGCGTCGTTGGATTCGATTGGTCGATCCGTACCCAATGATATAACTTTATATTCAATTGACAAACATTTATACGTTCCACTTGATCCGTCTTGATATTTTCGATTAATTTGTACTGATTAGTCCTTTAATTTAAATCTTTACAAATATAGTCACATCAGTCTCGTTATGTTGAGATGATTAGAATCTCTAAAATATCTTTTAAATCTTTAAAACAATAGATTTTTGTAATTAAATAATTCTTATTTATTTAATCGTTGATTAACTTCTAGGCCGGTTTCTAGGGCATTACACAAACACCTTACTGAACAATATAATGGACATTACCCACTGTATGAATGCTATATTGTGAGATGTATTCATGGTTTAATTTCCAAGTTATGTCATCATTCATCTCATCATGCATGAATAGACGCATCATATAGGAATCATTCATATCATGGCATAACCGCTTAAGGGGTCAGGCGTAGTGCGCCTCTTATAGCGGGCCCGTCTAAGAGCCTTCGGGTTCAATGGGTTTCATTTGGAGGGCTCTGTGTACATATATGGTAATCAGGTTTTCGACTACCATCCATTATTGCTAGTCTCGTTAAGAGACTAAGGTAGACCTGACTCATCGCTTTCATGGGATGACATCGGAGCGCATGGGGTCCCTGCACGGCTAACTCATACATCATACATCATGTAGTCATTATGAGGATTTTGTACTTCAATCACATGCATGGTACATTTGGTCGTTAAGTGAATCACCTGGTCATTATATGAATTCTGTATGTTAAGTATAAGTATGAATGTGTGTATCTATAAGGACTGTTACTATGTTTTCTACTGCTAGATTACCACTAAGCTTATGTTGAGCGTACAGTGTTGTCTTTGCTATACACAGGTAGGCATGATGAACCTGGAGCCTATCCGGAATGACACGAGAGAGAGGAGATGTATGGATGGCGATTGTGGATTCCTACGACTTTTCCTTTGATTTAATTACTTTAAAATATTTTGGGGTTGAACCCACCCTTGTTGCACTTACTTGATGGACTGGGCATTTGGTTTTCTCTTTTCTTCCGTAACTTAAACAATTTTTCTACTCCGTATGGTTTTAGGGAAATAATT